GAAAGAAAGAAAGAAAGAAAGAAAGAAAGAAAGAAAGAAGGAAGGAAGGAGGGAGGGAGGGAGGGAGGGAGGGAAGGAGGGAGGGAGAAGAGGAGAGAGAGAGAGAGAGAAAAGAAAGAAAGAAAGAAAGAATCATTTGAGGAGGAGTAAGTCCTGTTTATAGTCTGAAAAGTTTCCTTTGACAACTTTTAGTAATATTAAGGAAACATCGAATTCTTGCCAAAAAAATATATTTTGAATCTACTCATGAAATATCAGACAAATTCATTGAAGGATAGTCTACAAAATAACTGTCCTATACTATCCAAAAACGTAAAGGTCTATAAATGAAGAAAAGCTGAGGAACTGTTCCAGATTAAAGAGGTCTGATCTCTAAAAGTACTGAGTGATCATGAGTTGTATCCTGGAATTGGAAGGGATGAGGCTGCAAATCTACAAGACTATTATTGATATAACCAAAGAAATTTGATAACTCTGTTGTCACTATGTAAGAGAATATCCTTGCTTATAGGAAAACAGCACCTGAAATATTTAGGGGCAAGCAGGCAAAATGTTCAGTTTACTCTCCAATGATTTGAGGAAAGGGGGAAGAATGGATATAGACATAGACAGACAGAAAATGAATGACAAAAGCATGTGCAGCAAAATGTAAACAATTGCTGAACCTGGGTAAAGGATATAAGGGAGGGAGTTCCTTGTATTAACTGTAACTTTTCTGTAAGTTTGAAATTATTTCTATTTTGAGGGTATAAGAAAGGAAAGAAAAAAAACACCAGCATAAAAATATGCAGGATAGATATCAGCAACTGGAAGAAAATCATGGAAACAATAGCGAGATCTCCCTTTTTTTTTTTTTTTTTTGAGACAAGAGTCTCACTCCATCACCTAGGCTGAAGTGCGGTAGGGTAGTCTTGGCTCACTATAGCCTCTGCCTCCCGGGTTCAAGCAATTCTCATGCCTAAGACAGCCAAGCAGCTTGAATTACAGGCACAAGCCACCATCCCTGGCTAGTTTTTGTATTTTTAGTAGAGATGGGGTTTTGCAGTGTTGGCTAGGCTGGTCTCGAACTCCTGACCTCAAGTGATCTGCCCACCTTGGCCTCCCAAAGTACTGGGATTACAGGTGTGAGCCACTACACCCAGCCAAGCCTTGTTCTTAATAGGCAACAATCTGCATTATTAAACTACCCAGTATAATGAAGAATTATTATTATTTTTTTTTTAGAGACAGGGCCTCACTGTCTCCAAGGCTGGAGTGCAGTGCTACAATCATAGCTCACTGTAGCCTTGAACTCCTGGGTTCAAGTAATCCTCCTGCCTCAGCTTCAGTAGCTGGGACAACAGGCACATGCTACCACGCCTGGCTAATGATGAAAGAGTAATATATTTAATTAAATTAATTAATTTATTTATTGTTTTGAGACAGAGTCTCACTCGTGTCTCCCAGGCTGGAGTGCAGTGGCTCGATCTCGGCTCACTGCAACCTCTGTCTCCCAGGTTCATGCAATTCTCCTACCTCTGCCTCCCAAGTAGCTGGGACTACAGGCATGTACCACCACGCCCGGCTAATTTTTTTGTATTTTTAGTAGAGATGGGGTTTCACCATGTTAGTCAGGCCGGTCCCGAACTCCTGACCTCAGATGATCTGCCCACCTCCGCCTCCCAAAGTGTTGGAATTACAGGCATGAGCCACCACGCCTGGCCTATTTTATTTTATTTATTTCTTTTTCAGACAGACTCTTACTCTGTCACCCAGGCGGGAGTGCAGTGGCGTGATCTTACTTCGACCTCCGCCTCCCAGTTTCAAGCGATTCTCGTGCCTCAGCCTCCCGAGTAGCTGGGATTACAGGCACCCACTACCACACCTGGCTGATTTTTGTATTTTTAGTAGAGACAGAGTTTCACTGTGTTGGGCAGGCTGGTCTCAAACTCCTGACCTCAGCCTCCCGAAGTGCTGGGATTATAGGTATGAGCCACTGCACTCAGCCTGAAAGAATAATTTTAAATTTAGCCCCAGACTTACTGTGCCATGATTCTTCTGGAAGCGAACAACTTCCTGATCATCTTCAAATGTACTACCCATTACCATCTGTGTAACAGACTTCATAGCAAAACCAAGCATATGCTGGCTGAGGGGCACGTGCTGGGACTCTGGGTAGGAGAGCCATTTATCTAATAACTCTTCTGAAAGCTGAAAGAGAACAGAAAAGTACAATGATTACTATTTCTTCTTTCTAAATCTCTGAAAATGTTACTAAGTAGATTCATTTAATAGCAAACACAGTTAAACTCTGAAACTAAAGTGCACATTCAGGTATGTATCTGTCATCCTAACACTAGCTCCATCTATACTTGTATCCTCAATGTCTCAGGTTCAGCTTCTAGCAAACAGCTTATATGTAAAACAAAGCAGAACCACTATTAAAACAATAAAAACAGAAAATATAAATTAAAAACTCAAAGATAGTAAAACCTTAAACCCAATGGAAATTAAAAGACCAAAATCTTAGTATCTAATTAAAAATAATGAAAAGTCTGCCACAGAACGCCTGTGACACAGTAATCAATAAATATATGAATATATATAAAAGTCCTAAACATACTTTAGTGACAGAAACCTCTCAGAGTCTCTTTGTTATTCCTTCCTTCACCAAATAATTATTAAATACCTATGGAATAAAAACAGAGTCTAGTAAAAAGATTACAAGCACTAGGCCAGGTGCAGTGGTTCATACCTGTAATCCTAGCACTTTGGGAGGCCAATGTGGGTGGATCACTTGAGGTCAGGAATTCGAGACCAGCCTGGCCAACTACTAAAAGTACAAAAATTAGCCAGGTATGGTGGTACATGCCTGTAATCCCAGCTACTCAGGAGGCTGATGCAGGAGAATCACTTGAATCCAGGAGGAGGATGCTACAGTGAGCCAAGATCATGCTACTGCACTCAAGCCTGAGTGACAGAGTGAGACTCTGTCTCAAAAAAAAAAACAAAAAATATTTTTTTGTAGATGTAATTAAATTAAGGATTTCCAATGAGATCATCCTGAATTTACGGTAGAATCGACCCTTATCTTTAAATAAAATAAAAGCAGAGGGAAAATTTAAGACACAGATACACACATGAAGTAAAGAGCTATGAAAGAAAGACATAGAGGCTGGGCTCGGCGGCTCACGCCTATAATCCCAGCACTTTGGGAGGCCGAGGTGGGTGGATCGTGAGGTCAGGAGTTCAAGACCAGTCTGGCCAACAGAGTCTCAACTAAAAATACAAAAATTAGCCAGGTGTGGTGGTTTGCATCTGTAATACCAGCTACTCAGGAGGCTGAGGCAGGATAATCGTGTGAACCCACTAGTGGAGTTAATATCAGGAAAAATAAACTTTAAGGCATGAAGGATTACTAGAGACAAAGAGTGATTATTTCATAATGGCGAAGTAGTCAGTACCAGGAATATATAATAAGACTAAGTTGGGAAACATTCAGTTTCCTAAATTCCAAAAATATAAACTAAAAACTGACAGGGGCTGGACACAGTGGCTCATGCCTGTAATGCCAGAGCTTTAGGAGGCCAAAATTTGAGACAAGGAGGGACTATGAGGGACACAGGGACACAGAACAAGTCTCGAAAACATTTCAAAGGATTGAAATCATTGAAGGTATGTTCTCTGTCATTAGTGCAATTAAGCTAGAAATCAATACAAAATAGGTAACTAGAAAAATTTTACCTTTCTGGAATTTAATCACTATACTTGTATATAATTCTTGAGCTAAAGAAGAAACCACAATGGAAATTAGAAACTATTTTGAACCAAATGATAATGGAAATATAGCACATCAAAACTTGTATACAACAGAAATATAGAGGGAAATATATAGATTTAAATTCATATATTGGTAAGGAAAGGGCTGTTTATTAACAATCTAAGCATCCATCTCAAGAAACTAGAAAAATAGCAAATTAAAACCAACAAAAGTTGAAGGAAGGAAATAAACATAAGAGCATAAACAAAATTAGAAAACAATACGTAAAGAAAAAAGTTGGTTCATGTAAAAAAAATTAATAAAATTCAAAGACATTTTATCAGTTACAAACGTATTGCCCCTGACCTATAAATTCATTCTTTTTGCCTTGCTTTTAAAATAGACTTGCAGGTCTGGTATGGTGGTGTACATCTATAATCCCAACACTTTGGGAGGCTGAGGCAGGAGGATCACTTGAGACCAGAAGTTTGAGACCAGAATGAACAACAAAGTGAGACAACCATCTCTAATTTAAAAAAAATAAAATAATATAAAAATCAACTTGGGTCCTTTACATATTTTTCCTATGCCATCTGGCATGATGTTAAGCTTTCCCAATATAAGGTGCTAAAGAGACATTTGTAAAAGAAGAGTTTTGCCTCCTGGTTCTCCTGTGCTCATCATAGAGCAGGCCACTGTGATGTCTGAAGCTTTTCAGTGTCAGGGTCCTGCAGTGCACTGAAAAGCAGTCAGCAGCTTCCCCGATCAGCCCTTCCCTTGGTTGCTTTTTGTAGGAGATGTACTCTAACCCCTGCAGCACCTGCTGCAGCATGGAGTGGCTAGCAGCTTGCCCTGTCAACTCCCCCAAAAAGTTGTGCCTCAGGTGAGACACCTCTCCATCAACAGCTTTCCCCTCCACCTTAGAGGGCAGCATACTAGGGGATAAATTTCCAACCAGGTCCAAACGGCAGATTTCCAGGAAGTTTTGCTAACATGGCACCACAGCAACCTCTCTGCCATTCATAGCAGCTGTGGCTCCTCCAATAAGCCTGAATCTGAGTCCTGTGGAAGAGGGATCTCTTGAGTGCCCTCTGTCTTGGCCCTGGGGTTTGTGACTGTTACTTATATCTGCTATTCCTTTTTTTTTTCTTTTTCTTTTTCTTTTTTTTTTTTTTGAGATAAAGGAGCCCAGAAACTACAGGATGCAGTATTCGGTGATCATGCTACTGCACTCCAGCCCAGGCTGGATTGATGACTGCATACTACGTCCTGTAGTTCCTGGGCTCAAGGGATCCTCCCATCCTCCTGCCTTGCCTCCTGTGTTGCTAGAACTATGGGTATACACTACCACACCCAGCTAATACATTTAAAAAAAATTTTTGTTTGTAGAGACAGGGTCTTGCCATTTTGCCCAGGATGGTCCTAAATTCCTGAACTCAAGCAATCTTCCCACCTCAGCCTCTCTAAGTGCTGGGATTATAAGCTAAGTAACTGTGCCCAGCTGTAATCCTATATTCTTCAGAGTTCCCTTTAGAGTAGCCCGTATTATAGTTCTTTATTTTTAAATTATTTATTATTATTTTTTGAGATGGAGTCTAGCTCTGTCGCCCAGGCTGAGTGCAGTGGCACAATCTTGGCTCACTGCGACCTCTGCCTCAAACTCCTAACCTCAGGTGAATTGCCTGGCTCAGCCTTCCAAAGTGCTGGGATTACAGGTGTGAGCCACTGCACCTGGCCCCTTTCAGTTTCTGAATCTTCAGTATATATATGTTTTTGAGATGGAGTTTCACTCTTGTTGCCCAAGCTGGAGTGCAACGGCGTGATCTCCACTAACTGCAACCTCCGCCTCCCAGGTTCAAGCAATTCTCCTGCCTCAGCCTCCTGAGTAGCTGGCATTACATGCACATGCTACCAAGCCCAACTAATTTTTTATATTTTTAGCAGAAATGGGGTTTCACCATGTTAGCCAGGCTGTTTTTGAACTCTTGACCTTAAGTGATCTGCTCACCTTGGCCTCCCGAAGTGCAGGGATTACAGGTGTGAGGCACCACGCCCAGCCGATCTTCACTATATTGAATGGCAATTCTGATGAGCTTCATTTGATAGTTAGTTCAGTATTACATATTAACTTACTATTGGTAAAAATATCCAAATACAGGATAAATGCTTTCCTTTCCTAATGGACTTCTTTTAAGAACAGCTCTTCAAATGTTGTCTTGTGTGATATATGTACATTTACCTGAAATAACTATCTAGTTGTTGAATAACAGTAATGTTATCTATGCTGGAGTATTCTATCAGCTACATTTTTATGATATATAAATTACATGTATATAATGTATAAACTGAAAGACCCAACAAATATATGCTACTAATCTTATCTTGCATCCTAAATAACAGTATGATCATTTATAGATGTCTTCAGAATGTCCACATTAAAACGCTACAGTAATTTCAACTAACATAAAATTGTAATTACAGAAAAATAAAGCTCAAGATAAAATTCTACCTGGAGGCAGGCTTACAATTCAACAGATAAGATTATGGAGTGTGTGTAGATATATATATATATATATATATATATATATATATATATATATATATATATACACACACACACACACACACACACACATATATATATCTGTTGTTTAGAAAATAAACAAACTTTCTTTTTGAAAAGAACTGAGACTTTTGAAAAAAGTCATTAATTATTCCATAATTATTTTGAAATTATTAGAATCATAGAGAAGCAAGTGATTTTAATTCCACCTTGTATTAGGATATTATTAACTTCAATATTAAAGAAGATTTTAAAAATTAGTCAAGCAAAAGCAAGAGTATATCCCAGGGGAGCGGAACCAAGCCAGAGATGCAAGATAGCCTTGTGGTTAAATATATAAACTCTGGACTCAGACTGACTGGAATCAATTCCTAATCCTACTACTTATTTACTAGCAGTATGACCTTGGACAAGGTACTTAACCACTCTATGCTTCATTTTCTTCATCTGTAAAAAGGGGTAAATTTGTAATACCTACCTATAAAGTTCTTGTGAAGATTAAATGAGTTAATGTAAGTTATTAAACCAGTTAACTCACTGATTTTGGCTATTAATATTCTTACTAAACTGTTAAGGAGATTCTGGACAACAGTCATAACTTCTACAATCCAGAAATACCTGTTCAAGCAGAATTTAGCCCAAAAGTCAAAGGAAAATATGGGACTGAAGCACACAGAAGAGAGAAGTTGCACTCACAGAATTAAAGTGTAGGTTTACACACATTCTTGAAGCAAAGATGCCCAGGGCAGGAAGAAGTCAAACTCGTGAGGTTTGAGGATAAGAGGGTAAGAGCCCATTAGAGGATTTAATAAGAACAGGAACTCAGATCTGGACCAAAAAAAAGAAAAAAAAAAGGCAAAATGTTTATCATGGCAATATGAAGCATAT